CAGATTGTGTATCACGGTATCTGGACCATAGCCTGCTTATGACAGACTGAGAAACATTCATCGTCCGCGCCACAACCGCCTGTGTTGTGCCGATCTGTAGCATGCCAAGGGCACGTAACCTTTCATTTTGGGTAAGCCGACGCATATCAAAATTTGTTTTCTGGTCACTAAAACAATTAAACTGATGTTTCCACCCTGGAATTCAATGCCACAATGACTGTAACATTCAAAGTCAGAGTCGTGCAAATCTTGGGTTGGACCCCCATGATGATCCCAAGCATCACCTGCATTCCATGCGGTAGCTATTGGTGCGTTTGGGCGTCACATGTAACTGGAAATGTTTCTTCTGTTAGGTTCTATAGTGACTTTTTTCGTAGTCATTTGCATATTTTAGTATTATGCCCCCAAAATCAAATATCCCCTACTTTTTTTGAATAGTATATATTCACGCCAAGATTGATTCGGCTAATTACCATAATCCATCAGCACGCGGAAAGTATGCACGTGATATGTATTAATATTGTCCAGACGACACATGCTTGAAATAACTGACAACACCCTGAAGTGATTTAAAAATAAAAAGTCGTAGTCGTTTAAAGGAGCTAAATCGCTAATGATGTAATATGAATGTATATGAACTGATTTACATTCAATCGTTTCCGTTGTTACTGTAATTCCTAATCTGTTATGCTCGGCGAAATACGCCAGAAGTCTCAATCGAATGGCAATCTCTAGCGCCTGGTTGTTCAAATCTACTCCAACAGTATATATTGTGCATGCGATATCACCTCGGTGGAAGCGGACGTAAAATACAACTAACTCACACACAGAAAAGAATATGGTGTAACTGATTGATATGACTTATGGAATATGTCTAGCCTCATCCTTCGAGTACTTTGTTACAAATGGCACTGAAACGCATTATGGTACACGACTCGTGTACCAATGGTAAAATGTTTATTTTGTCTTAAATATTGGATATCAGAAGCCCATCTTTTCCCGGTAAGATCACAACATTTAAATTGACATACAATTCGTGTTTTCAATGTCGAAGACTGTGGATGATATTGAGTTAGAGACTTAGTTACTTTAAGATGCCAATCATTGAGAAACATTCCATCGAACATTTAATTTCTGCTCCTTGATAGGAATTCTAAACACGCCTGTCTTCATTAGCCCAGACAGCGCAGATAAAACTCCATTTCATTTTATTTCACTGGATTCTGCTGTCTCGGACCTGAAAACCCCCCCAATCAAAATAGACCATTATCGTGAGATAGCTAGTATGTGCATAACAATTATGTGGTCGGACTACTTCTTGGATTGTCTCTGTTGTTTTTCTTGTACTGTTTATTATATCTGTATTTTGTTGTGCAGTTTTCCTGCTAAGACGTAGTTGTTAAGGAGTATGACTGATATTTGCCAAAGTGGGGTAAATCTAGAAATTAACCATTATTGAGGGGAGTAACACAAAACTTGTGAAATGGGAGTTAGATTAAATCTATTTGTTAAGGTCAGCTCAATTTTCGTCAAGGTCGCTGAGATGTAAATAAGGTTATTAGTACACGTGATTGTTAGAGAGATTGTGGGTTATGGTTAAGGTAAGGTCCAGGCTTAGGGTTAGGGTTGGGAATAGCGCTAGCCCCGTTTACATCTCGTGACCTTGGACCAAACTTCTAGTTGGCCTTATCAATTAGATCTAACCCGGAGTTTAAAGTCCTACTTTTCTGCGCCAACCGGGATAATGAAGACGGGACCCCTTTAATGAGTAATAAAATAGATATTTTTTTAAACATTATCCTCTGAAGAATTTTAGCTGCATAAAACAAAATATGTGAACCTTTCAGCGAGTATTCAACTTGCTAGTTTTTAACATTAAGTTCCTGAAGTATTTTGGCTGCACATGTTTTTATAAAGACGAGACAGACAGCTGACAAGTGAAATGAATTTACTGTCTGCCGTGTTGTTGATGGTAGGTAGACGAGGGATGGTTCCACCATATGTTATGTAATATCAGCTAGGATGAAAAGCTAAAATAACAAACTTCGAGATAATATCACGGCTTCTAGATTGTATTAAGGTAAGAAAATAGAGAAGAGTTCATCGTAAGTATGATCATATACACAGGTATGACTGAATCCTCAAAGGACGGATTTTAGAATACTTTCCATTTACCGTTAAATTTCCGTTTTGCTAATTCCGCGAATTTACTCATACTTTAGGTATAAATCAACAATAGTTTCCCCGTTTACCGTAAAAAAATTTGCCAATTCCCCGAATTAACTCAATGTCATTGTATAATTCAACCATTTTGTTGGTCTGTCACAATAACAAGGTAGTATTTGATGGTATTTGTATTGGAAGTATTTCGTTAGTATTGGGGTAGTAGGGATTGGATGGTCGAATGGTTAGCGTGTGCGCGCTGCATCATAAGGTCTGTCATTGACTCAACTGGCGTGGTTTCGATTCCCCGGTTGTACGTGACAAGGAGTAGGGTCGCCTGTCCAACCTCGTGGTTTTTCTCTGGGTCCCGGTTTGCTCCCACTGCTAAATCCCCCTACGCGCAAGCGAATTATTGAAATAAAATTGAACCATGTGTTAGTCCCGAAATGACCTAGTTTGTGTCGAGTGGACGTTAAACCCACTCTCCTCTCTCTCTCTCTCTCTCTCTCTCTCTCTCTCGCACAACATCGTTACCGTTTTCCGTGAAAGTTTCGTTCCCAATTTTATTTTATTGTTTGGTGCGGGTTAAATTCCAACTTAGTGTGAGATCCATTTCTAGAAATCAAACCAATCATTTATAAAATGTAACCAGTCGATTACCATCTCTTGTTACCCCCAGTTATTTTTATTTTCTTCTTCTTTCTTGTCCGTCTCGTCTTAAAATTATACCTTTTTGTCATGACAGATGAGTTCGCCATTGTTGTATAACCTAGTGGGCGTTTGGCTCTGTTCTTTGGAACATTAAAATAGGCTAAAAACTGTGTCTAAAAGCACATATTAATGTAATATGAATGTATGTAAAGTGATTTATATTCAATTTTGAAAAAGATATTGTAAATTCTAATCAATTATGTTCGGTGAAATACGTGAATAGGCAAATTGAACGACAGTCGTTTACGCCTGCTTAATGCATTCTACACGTTTTTTTAATTATTATTTTATCGTTTGTGAATCAACCATTATTAATTACTTCCGCATTATTATGTGGGATATGTTTGTTCTTTGTTCATTACAAATGGCGCCCAAAACCATAGAATACGGTTTTCCGGCGTGGTTCCCCCTTGTCAGTGATGCAGGAAGGAGGGCTTGACAAGGACAGCTGTTTAGTCATTCGGATGGGACGAAAAACCGAGGTCCCGTGTAAACATTGGCGTGCACGTAAAAGATCCCTTGACAGTTGGAATTCGATATAAGAGTAGGCCATAGTGCCGCTGTGCGGGCAAAATTTCCCTCATAGCACACTGTATGGCGCATGCCCGTCTTCATTAGCCCAGTTCGGAGTAGAACAGTAGGACGTTAAACTCCATTTCACTTCATTTCATAGAATACAGCCGTTTTCATTAGCCCAGTCAGGGCAGAACAGTAAGACATTAAACCACATTTCATTTCATAGAATATAAATTTTCATTGTGTCTTAAATATTGGATATTCCCGGCAAGATAATAACATCAGTATTGATTGATATGGACCAATATTGAGTTCTAATTCGTGTTTTTAATTTCGAATATTATGGACAATATTGAGATTGGGGTTTATCTCCTTTAAGATGGGAAACCACGGTTATTCTACTGGAGAAGAAACGGAAATGACATGCTTGTGGTTGTCAATAGCTTAGCCAAACGAGATGAGAAGGAATTGTGGACATATTATTAACGGCTGATACATCAACAGGGTTCCTGGCGTGCTGAACATTTTAATGCCGACGTTATGACAAGGATATGATTTCACCAACAGTGATGTATCCCTAACCCTTACCCACAATCCTCGACAAAAATCACGTGCCCTAACCCTGTTTATAACTCGTCACCTTGGTGAAATCTGCAAATATTTAGATCTGACCGCACCTCAACCCAGTATCTAGACAAATTGGATGTTGCCCAGTTCTTTAGCAAGTCTTGGACTATATCAGTTCTGTTTTAAGACATATTGGACGGGGTGTCCAGTTCCAAACTCCTACATATCGTTATTGTTTTATATAACGTCTGACAATGTCACAGATTAGAATTTGACATTTTAGCCAACCTTGTCTTAAGGAATACATGTCAGCCATGTGCATAGTACCGGGGAATGATAACACAGTCCAGTTGCAGGAAACAACCAACATTTGCTCAAGTCTTCATAGCAAGGTGGAGATTTAGAGACTGCACCTTATCGTCAAAAGCTGGTTCAACACTGAATATTCATATTAAAAGGGTACGGTTTTCATTTCTAGGACCCGGTTCTGTTAACCCACTACCACTAAGATGGCATCTATAATTTTTTCAGATTTTATCGGTATTTTGTCCGTGGGTGTTTTTCAGTATTCAGAATAGCCTGTGCCAGGGCTAACAGACTCATATCACTACCCTGCCCGTGATTTGGCACCGTACAGTTCTCAAACATAACTATGCTCGAAAACTGTGTCAGAGATACTTCTCAAAATGATGTGTGCTGTTGTGAGGAGTTGATTTCCAGGACCAGAGAGAGATAGAGAGATGGGGTTTAAGTCCCCTCGACACAAACTACGTCATTTTGGTTCAATTTTATTTCAAGTTCGCTTGCAGGTAGGGGTCTTTAGCAGTGGGAGGAAACCAGAGGACATAGAGAAAACCCACGAGGTTGTACTGGTGACCCTGCTCCTTGTCACGTACAAGCGGGAAATGGAAACCATGACATCTGACTCTATGACAGACTTATGATGCAATGCGCACACGGTAACCGTTCGGCCACCCAACTCCCCTCAAGGACTAGACCACGTTCTGTTAACCCACTTCAACAATAAACAACTAAGACATAAATTAAAAATATTATTTCTTTTATTTGACCAGGAAACGAAAACAAATGACCAAAGCAAGGCATCTTAATTCATCTAATTTTCCAAACAGAAAAATACAAAAAAAAGGTAAAGCTACCAATATAATATTTAATCAAATATTTATAAATTAGTTAACCAAAAAGAATGTCACAGAAAATAAATAATTCTTGTCCATAATTATTTACAAAATTCAATATTAATTTCCTAAACCTTCATGTATCTTTTCTCAAATTCTGTCTTCCTATCATCACCAGAAGTTTGCGAATCAAAATTTTCTGGAGAATAACATTCAATCATCAGATTTATTATAAAAGCTGCTGATCGCAATCTGAAACTACAATAGTTTCAATTTGTTTCAAAGTTGAATCCATCACAAGTATTTTAATTCCATTCAGATATGTTAAATTGAAAATTTCACAACTTTTAGTCATTCTCTGGGGTTTAACATCCACTTGACACAAACCAGGTCACTTCGGGACTAACATATGGTTTAATTTTATTTCAATAATTCACTTGGCTTAGGGGTCTTTAGCAGTGGGGTGAAACCTGGAGGACCCGGTGAAAACTCATGAGGTTGGATAGGTGACCCTATTCCTTGTCACGTACAAGCGAGGAATCAAAACCACACCACCTGACTCAATGACTAACCTCATGATTTCACTAGACTACCCACCCACCCTTAATATTTTGGTTTTGATATCTTAATTAAATGTTGAATAATCAATTTGAGTATATCTCCACGTGGATTAAGCTGTGAAAATTCAGATATTGTCTCAAAATTCAGATATTCTCGAAAATTCAGATAATTTCCCCAAAATTCAGATAATGTCCCTAATTCATATATTCTCGAAAATTCGGATAATGTCCCAAAATTCAGATAATATCTGAAAATGCAAATGATGATCAGAGATGGCTTTAATTCATCTTAATCCTAACTCAGAAGACTGGATAATCATAACTTTGTAAAAGAATATCACATTGACGAAAAATAAAAAACGATCTCTAAGATAATACGCCTTTACCAAAAGCTTAATGAATACGAAAAAATAACAAAAAAAGAAGCTGTATGGGAGCAAATTCTTAGAGAGTAAAAATAAGCTGAGGAAGGTAAGCTTTTAATTATATACAAGATAAGGTTGCCAGGCAACGAAAAATACGCCCACAGCAGCTAAGTTGTCCGGGCATAGGTAATGGGAGCAATTACATGTATTTATGACTCAAGGGCAATAACCTATGAAGTAATTATCAGAAATAAGTAAAATTTAACAGGCTTCTCAGTGCTAACAGAAATATATACTGGTAATCCGATTATAACATTAGCTGTTCAAGCTATTGGAAATTTTTGAAAATCAATGAATTCTTCTATAGGCTTCATGAACTTCAAAGATTGAGTATAAATTTCAAGCCAAACAGGTGATAACTTTAATTTCTAGAGCATCCACAAGAAAACGTATAGGGAAGGACGGACAGACAGATATAAGTGACAACTATATACAACCACATTTCAATGTGGGCTTATCAAAACAGTTTCAGACAAGCCTAGAAATATTCTGTAGTAATGTTTACAAGAATAATGGTCTGTAGAAGTTATTACAACAGAGTGCTGTTAGGTCATTCTAAATAGTTCCTTATACCGTTTTGGGAATAATATGGAAACAAGGTTAATGATATCATTGTAATATTCGAAGATAGAATTCTTGAATATTCATTAAAGTACTGATCTTTTGGCTTTTTTTGTTCTGAGATTGATGGGGAATAAGGTTTAATTTTAACTATGTAATATTCAAAGACAGAATCCCTGAATATCCATCAAATACAGAATCCCTGAATATCCATTAACGAACTGACTTAACCAAGAGAAGGTTCTGTAATAATATTTTTTTATCTTTGTGTGGTTAAAGAATGAATACACAGACACGGGTACACAATTTCATTACCATAACAATAACATTAGGATTACTGAGGCATTTCTGACAATGGAAGCAGAAATTATTTTGTTTGACTCGGTAATAATATTATTATTTTTATATGTGTGTGGTCATAAATATAGCTTATTAACGCCTGAAACTGTTGACAAAGAATAAATTACACAAAAAAAAAAAAAAAGATTGAAAATATAAAAAAAACATATAAAAAGAAATAGAATTTCTATGAAAAAGATGCCTTTTAATTGGAGAATTTATTATGAAAGCACAAACTGGTCACATTTTTTTTTACCAAAAGTTCATGAAAGCACAAAATTTGCATTATTTAAATAAAATAAAAACGTTTATAAACAAGAAAACATTACTTAAAACAAACGATTCCATCAACAACTCTGTAGGATGGTGTCGCATTTATTGTGACGTATTCATAGATCCCAATCGAAAAAATTAAGTATAGAGTTCTTTGTGGGACATTGGACAATATTTAATTGACGATAGTTGGCTTAATGGCTGCCATCTTAGTTAACGAGACAGTCTTGTCGGTCACATATTATTCGTAGTGTAATATTAAGTTTCTATTCACTTTTACGCCACTCTTTTTTTTTTACGAAAAAATAAATCCATAAGTCACACGTAAGTAGGTTCTTCCTTCCATTTTGAGCAATGTCTATTAATAGTTTCAATTAACAAATTTCATATACTATATAACAATTTCACGATTCCGAGAAGATCCAAAACTACAAAAATCCAACCGATTCCTATCTGGATACGGGTCTCGATTTTAATTCCAAATTAGGATGAAAGTCTTAGATTCAATTCCTGCGCAGGAAGCAATACTCCATCCCGCTGCTCTCCACCAAAAATTGCAAGATTAGATAAATCATAGAATGAGCCAAATCATGAGCGACACATCGGAGCAGTTTTTATTTCGATTGATAAATAATTTTATTAATATTTACAGCACGTTTGGCTTTTTATTGTTTAAAGTCGCTCCATTCAGTTTATTACAACACTACACCTCTCTTATTGCCACAAAGATTTGATATTTGTTTTGGAAGCACAGGTGCCATTTCTATTAATTATCACATGAAACAGCAAAACTTCTTCCAACCAGTCTTTTTAGCGTCGGAAGAATTCACGTCTGGTGGAGTTTTTGTGTCAATCGAGAGTTTACTTCGTTTAGATCTTCTGCTAGGTGTACGTTTTAAGGCACTTGTCAGTTTTAAGGACACAAGAATGGCCGTGTCAAACACTTCCTTAAGGTTTTTCTGGGTGAGAGCTGAACACTCCACATATTGCATGGCTCCAATATGATCCGCTAAATGTAAGGCGTCGGTTTCCGACACAGGAACTTCTTGATATCGCGCCAACTCGATGAGAACTTGGACGTCATTTCTGAGGTCACCTTGAGTTCCGACTAAAACAATTGGTGTTTTGGGTGAATGTTTTTTGATTTCCGGCACCCATTTTTCCAGAACATTTTTAAAGGATGTTGGTGAAACAACGCTAAAACAAACAAGAAAGACGTCAGTGTTCGGGTAGCATAAAGGCCGCAAAGTGTCAAAATCATCCTGAAAAATACAAAAAAACAAAACAACATTAGTATTAACATAAATTATTATGGGTTGTTTTGTTTTAAGGTTTTGACTGAAGTGGAATGGCTACATGTAGATCAAGACATTGTTAATATTTTACCACATAAATAAGTAGTGTGGCAATTTTTATTTGTCATATCATGTGCACTAGTACCTGCTAAACCTCATGGATTTACTTTGGGCCCTCCTGTTTCTTCCCACTGCCAAAAGAAAGACCCTTGTACGCAAGCAAATTATTTAAATACCCTACAGGTAGTGCTAAAATGACCCAATCTGAAATGAATGTCCTTCTCTCTCCCTCACCTTAAAGGGGTTAAATCGCTAATATTTGGTACCTAAAAATCGACACAAATGGGTCGCAGCGCATATTATAATGTAATATGAATGTATATAAACTGATTTTTATTCAATCGTTTCTGTTTTTACTCTAATTTCAAATCAGTTATCTCCAGATAAAAATATGGTGGACCGTTTGACATGACTTGTGGAACATGTCTAGCCTTGTTCTTCAAGTCCCTTGCTACCAATGGCAATAAAACGCATTCTGGTTTGGATGATATTGAGTTGGAGACTTAGCTACTTGAAAGCCGAAAGCCGATCTCTTCCCCCTCCCCCTCAATTCAGCAAAGAAATCTTTAGTGTACTGGATAACCTATTTATCGCTCTAGAAATCCTGTTAAATATCACCGCAAGCCATCAAAGTTTATTTTTAACCAATCAACAACCATTATCATTCAAAACAGATATCAAACAGCGAAACTTATTTCTTTAAATCCCCCACAATCTTATAATAGACTTTAAAAGAAAAAGGTAATTTTTGTGGATAAATCTAACAACCCCAGTCAAATAATTTCATTATGAACGAATAGATATCAAGCCGGGAAACTTATTTCTTCAAAATCCACCACAATCTTAGAACAGACTTAAAAAGAAAAGATAATTTTCGAGGATAAATCTAACAACTCTAGTCAAATAATTTCATTATGAACGAATAGATATCAAGCCGGGAAACCTATTTCTTCAAATCCAGCCAATCTTAGAAATGATAATTTTCGAGGATCAATCTAACAAACTCCAGTCAAATAATTTCATTATGAACGAATAGATCGTAATTTTTCAGGTGGTGATTTTTCTTTGTGTGTTTATAATAAAGTAGGTCCTTATTAAGGCGGATTGATTGTCTGAATAAAAGAAGTTAATCTTTAAACCCAGTTTCTTTAGCGAACACCGAGAACACGACTCCGCACACAGAGGTTTTAATCATAAAGGACTCCAGCAAGCACCTGGTTTATGAACGACTACATCAATGTAAATACAAAAAACATATTCACGACAAGACACCCAGGGGCTTAAACTTTTAATTTGACCTCAAGAAAAAAAAAACAACTAGCCACACAAGATCAAATCAAATACAGACCTAGATCAAAACGGCAGTCTTCATACAATATGACAAGTTTTCACAAATCTTAGAATAACACGGCCATGGAATTATGAATGAAGTAGTGTAACAAAGTGACCCTGGGTGGTGTACTATTATGAATCGAACATCAAAGGTGGCCGACTTCAATTAGATCGGATGTCTATGTTTTTAAAGCAAGTAGTAACAAGTATTTGGATCATTTAGTAAGGCTGACCACAGACAACTAGCCTACAGGACTCATGCACTCTAGTATGTATATATATGTATGGTCTACCTACATGTACCTACAGCCTACATGGGGTCAATAGTTGTACTGCATGCATTTTAAATCATAAGGTCTGTGATGGAGTCAAGTGGCTTCGATAAATTTGATTCCATACTTGTAGGTGACAAGGAGTAAGGTAGTCTGTCAAACCTCAAGGGTTTTCTTTGGATCTTCCGATTCCCTTACACCGATAAAGGCACACTTTGTGACAAGTGGATGTTAAACCCAATTTCTCTCTCTCTCTTTACTAACAATATATTTTTCACTAAACATTGCCAGACTGCAGGATGATGGATGGCAAGCAAGTTGTTTCTAAATTTCTATAAAATAACCCACAGATTGATCAATTTGATGTCCTGAACATTGATTTAACAATTAACTGATATTAACGAAGACAACATTCATATTCTGATCAATATTATCTTATTATCTCCCTTGAGCACAAAACATTATGAATGGTATGTCTCCTCCAGATAACTATTAATTAACATATTTGGAATATTCATTTGAAATAAAATGGAGTCAATTAAAACACTGTGATCGTAATAGACATTTTGTTTTCGTAAGGAATAGAATATACTAAAACAAAATCATGATGGAGATTACCTAAATATTTGACTTTCTTACAGAAACTTACGATAACAATTTAACCACAACCTAAAAATAATATTTGAAAAAATGGCTGAACATTAATGAATGTAATTAAAGGCTCGTAAGTATTGTTTCGTTTAAAATTTCATAACTTGAAATAAAAGCTTTGAGACTAGAAACCAAGTATTTTTTTGTTTTGCTGAAGAAAAGGGAAGCCAAAATAACTAAAACTCTAGTAGTTTGGCCTAGGTTCACAAGGATCATAGCTGGTGGTCTGTGGTAGCCCATTCACTAACAACCCATTTCATGTCACCGCGTAATGCTCAACAAGGACAACCCTTCTTCTATCATACTACTTGACTGATTTCATACACGCTTCATGGTTTCTACACAAACCTCTTATTAAACTCCACAATACACAGCCAATTCAGATATAGAAAATATCAATTCATGCAATATATCTCAATAAACTTGTTTTAATATTTAAATAAAGTTTGAATTTCATGCTCCAGTTTTTATTCTTTGTCAATTAATTTGTTAAACCAAGTGAAATAAAAGTTTAAAATTTTTATTATATTATAAAATCAACACCTGGGCTAGAGAAGAAATTATTTTTTAAAAAGGTAGAATAATATATAACTCAGTTATTGTGTTTTCTATGAAGGGAAAATGTGAAATGGAGATGATTAGGGAGCGAGAAATGGAAATGAAATGGGGTTTAACGTCCTACTGTTTTGCTCCTATACTGGGCTAATGAAGACGGGCATACGCCATACAGTGTGCTATGAGGTAAATTTTGCTGGGCAGCGGCATTACGACCTACTCTTACATCGAATTCCAACTGCTAAGGGATCTTTTACGTGCATTCCAATGTATACACGGGACCTCGGTTTTTCGTCTCATCCGAAGGACTAGACTGACAAGGGGGACCCACGCCGGAAAATCTGGATGAACTTTCTCGGCCAATGCAGGGATCGAACACCCGACCTCCAGGCTACCGAGCCAGCGTCTTACCCACAATGGGCTTCAACTCAAATTAGATTATTTCAGGACTCACATATGGTTCAATTTTATTTCATTAATTCGCTTGCAGTGGGAGGAAACCGACAGACCCAGAGAAAATCCACGAGGTTGAACAAGCGACCCTTCTCCTTGTCATGTACAAGCGTTGAATTGAATCCATGCCACTTGACTTGCTGACAGACCTTAAGATGCAACGCAAACACATTAACTATTCGGCCACTCAACCCCACTAAACATGATTAGGTCATTTTGGGACTAACATATGATAAATTAATATCAGCCAGGTGTCCAGTACGAATGTAAAATGAAACTTCCACTTGCATGTATAACAGCTATGTATGATTTGCTGCCTTTCCGCCTATGCTTCTTCGAAATTCCAATTGCCAAGGGATCTTTAACGTGCACTCCTAACCTTAGTTTAATTTGACAATCAATATGGACACCATTCCCAATACTCGTCCCGTCTTCATTAGCCCAGTTGGAGCAGAAAAGTAGGACGTTAAACCCCATTTCATTTCATTTCATTTCATTTCTTACTACTAATCTTTGTTTAATTTCACAAACAATACTCATCCCATCTTCATTAGCCAAGTTGGAGCAGAACAGTAGGACGTTAAACCCCATTTCATTTCATTTCCAATATTCGTCATTTTGGGACTAACATATGGTACTATTTATGTATGTTTAGGTATATATCCAATTCGATAGAGAAAATTTCGCCCCTTTAATCTTAGTTTAATTTCACAATCGAAACTAAAAACAACATTTTATTTGAAATAACATGCTCTAGTTTGGTTATTTACTTCAAGTAAACACCACATAATTCATAACACAATTGTTCAAACTGTGTTCAGCTCACCAATGGCTATGTAATATTTGCCTCTTATAATAGACTTTCTATGTTTAACCCTAGATTGCGATATTTACATTTTTGTCAAGTTTGTTATTTTTTTGTCTGGTGAATAAACATAGAGGTATCTGGCAGGTCAGGTCGTAAACAAAGTTTTACCTTTCAAGAGGACAAGTTTGTAATGGTTACATGTTGAACAGGGGGACGTTGATCTCTCTCATGTTTTGACAGCCAAACCCAACAATTAATGTTCTCTTGTCACAAATTTATGTTATTTTATAAGTTCTACAAAAGAGTTTTATGTCACAATATGTGCTACAACCTATCTAAATTATTCTCTTTAATACACTACCTCCATTCAACTGACAGATTTTCTTTCATAAAAGACATAACAGATCAAGTTTATCAACCTCAAGTCATCATAAATCTAATATTTCCAAACGAGCACCTCTGACCAAAACCACAAGACAATAAGGTCAAAACCTTTAAAACTTTGTATACTATAGACCAGTGAAATTTTGTTAAAACCTTGTGTTTATATCATAATATAGGACTGTGTTGTTTTATATTATCAATATTATCCATTCTTTAAATAATATCTAGAACCACCGTTAACTATTCATAATAAAACACAACACACGGTATATATGGATATAACTACTTCTCTATTATTTAAAGTAGCTAATAGCCCGTTCAGACGCTTAAGTTGAACTGGTTTAAAAACCCCGGGGATCGTTAAACCAGTTTAACTTAAGCGTCTGAACGCAAATGTGGGGCAAATAAACCAAGTTAAAAACCCCTGCTCGCTACCTGTCTTCGAGAAGGCT